AAATAACAGTGTGTCACTCTGACAGAATAGCATAACCTAAAAATGAGGAAAAAGGCTTATTTTTTCCCTAAATCTCCAAAGAATTCATCTGTGGTTGCTATGCTCCATGATGATCATGAGCTATGAGATTTTAAGCTGATCTGTAAAAGCAATGGGACGTTTATATATATATAGCATGTTAAGAATGATAAATGGAAAACATGGTGTGAGAGCTGCAGGCAGTCTGTGGGGACAGGATGGTGCCGGGGCACAGGCACCATCTCGTCCTTCACCTGCTAATGGGGGCTCAATGGGGGGGGTCAGACTTCAGCTGGAAGTCTCTGATAGTTGCTGCTAGTGAAGCCTGTCCTTGACAATTAATAACATCTTGGTGAGTCTGCCTTAATAATTCATAGTTTTCTTTCATTGAAGTCCTGCCATTGGTAAATCTCAGACCTCAATAAAACAAAAAAAAAAATCACCTTTTGAATTGTACATGGTGCGTCCCTTGTGGTATTGATTATTTATAAAGCTATTTTCCAGTTTCTTTATCTTTTACAAGTGAGTGCCTTTGTTTGATTTGCACAGAATTTACAGTAAGAGAACTTGCAGGTTGATTCATACCTATTTTTTTTTTTTTTTTATGCAAATTTAAGGTTATAATTTTCATTAACAGTTTAATTTAAAGTTTTAAAAAATCAGCTTAATAATTTTTTTTATCTTTGACTCTTCAGTTCCTGTTATCCTTTGAGTGACTTTACGTAATACCTAAACAAAATGCACACCAAAGTCCTTGGTGCTTAGTGAGTTTTACAACCTTGAAGTTGAACTGAAATTATTTTGAGCTCAAAAAAAAATATATATATATATAAAAATTACACAGCAATGAAGGATCAAAGTCCAAGGAAAAGCTCAAGTGACTCTTCACAAATATTGGCACCAGAAAAATACACAGTAGTGAATTGTTCCTGTAATGCCATGGTCTGAAATTGCTCAAGCTTCTCATACAAAAGCACCTGAACTCTTGCACTGTGTCTCTCCCTGTTTAAAAACACTCAGGGATTTAAGTGGCTGTGTGGTTTCAGAGCCTCCTGGTTGCTATTAAACACCTGCTTGTAGGGAAGTGTACCCTGCAGTGCTCCCCTGAGCCACAGCACAAGTACTGAGAGCTTTCCAGGACTGGATTCCAAACCTTTAATTAGCACCCAAATAAATGTTTTAGCCAGTCAGTCTTCATACAGACATTTTGTTGTCAGCAGAGAAAAGCAAAAATTTGCAGAGCATTGAAGGACCCTGCTCACTTTGTGCAAATTTCTCTGCCTTTGTGAACTCACTGCCGGCTCGCAGCTTCTGTTATGTTTCCGGGGGCCAGATCCGCCTCTCAGATTACCATCGTATCACCCAGACACTGTGTTCAGGCGTTTTCCACCCAGACGTGTTTGATTAAAGACACGCTGCACTGCAATATGAATCAGACGTGTTTATTCAGGAAAACACTCCCTCCCCACCCCCAACTCAATATTTTAACTGGAATAATTAACAACATCAAAAGAAAAAACTTACGTCATTTTACATGATACAATTATTTTGACATTTCATGTGTCTATTGCTAAAGCTCCCAATGCACTGTCTCACAACACAGTCAGGTTTATACATGAAAAAATACCCTTTAAATATAAAGGCTCTGATATTCTGCACACAATCTGCTTGCCAAAGGCAGAAGTTCTACTCTTCTACCACTGTCAAGCTTGAGGAACTCCTTGAAGCCCCTGGAATTTACATTCATATAAAGTATTAAAAAACTGCATATTCTCATTTTTAAGCATTAAACTTATTATTCCTCTTAAGCGTAAGCTTTAGAAATACCTATTTTTAAACTGTTGCATATGCCAACACACACTCACATCCTCAAAGTTAGAGTATCAATAGACCTCATTTAACTGTTCAATCAGTTTTTTTCCCAACTCTTCATGTTTCGGTGGTTTCCTTCCTTTTTCCTCCTTTACATTCTAATTTTTTTTTCCCATCCATTTTTATGAGAATGAAAAATAGAATCAAAAAGGGGAAGAAGCAGAAAAACAGAAAAACACGGAAAGGAGGAATTTTCAAAATTTCTCCGTCACTTCAGTTCCTTCAGCAGGTTTGAAAAAACAACAACAACAACAACAAAAAACACTTAATAAACAGTTTTAAGTGAACAAATGCTCCCTTCAAAACTTAAATACTTAATTGGTGCCTAATTCCAAAATGTTGCTCCCCCCATCAGTTCTGGACAAGTCCAAGCAACATGCACTAGTGGTAGTGAAATGGCCTAAGTGGGAGAGACTTATTCTTTTTTGCACTCATACACCTGACAACTTACTCAGTTGGCACTGGCGTTTTATCTTACAAACGTGCTCTGCAGGAGAGCCGCGGGCTTTCCAGGAATCTCACCCAGCCTCACAGCACAGGTAGTGCTCTGCTCAGAGCTGTAGAAAGTGCCATGAATTATCAGGCCACAGATTAAATGATCGTTTATCATCTCATCTTGAATGGAGCTGTTGAGAGCCAGGGCTTGGTGGACTGAGTAAAGATTAAGTCACCAGCTGACAGTGTGTAAAATAGGCAGCTAATTTGGGTACTCTGACTCACCGCCTGGACGTTCTTGCTTCAAGACAGCTATACAGGGAAACAGGGATCCTAAATTTAGATGGTGTGGACACGGACTGAAGGGAAATGGTGTGCCAATATCTGCAGGATATGGCATCTGAGGAAAAACTGATCTTACTCATGGTCTACGACATTCCTTGTCTTGCAGCAGAGGAGGGTGGTTGCTGCGTACAAGCAGCCCAGAGGTGATGGTGAGTGTGGAGGGGCTGAAGGCTCTGGCTGTGATGCAAAGGTCTCACAGCAGAGCCTGCATGCTGGGAGCTCTGGAGCTTCACTCTCCTTAAGGCATCTGAATTTTGGAATGCGCTGTGCCAGGCTTCTTTGGTCTCTGCCCTTTTCAACTCCAAATCTTCAAGCTCAGTGGGACCATTTCTGAAAACAGAAATCAGGGGGTCCTAAACCTGAGCTCCCCAAAACATTTTTCCAAGACTCCATATCCTCACAGCCCATCATGTTTTCTTGCAGTTGAGCCTATTACAACCATAAAAAGCTGTAGCTGGAAGAGGTTTTGAAGGTCACTCAGTGCAACTCCTGCTGTCGCAAGTGTTGCTTGTAAGAATTTGCGTCGTTACAGCTGTTCCTCCTACGGAGGATGCCTTTGCTTTCCCTTATTCTTCATACTGAACACACGTTGTATCACTTCCACTTTGGAAAGACCTGCCAGCAGACGCAGTTAGAGGTCCCCAAGATCAAAGGCTTCTTATTTGTTTTGCTTTTTGGTTGGGTATTTGTGCTGGTTAGTCCCTTTCTTACTTTAATTGCATGATAGGGTACTTGAAAAAACATAGACCTGCTTGCGCTTTTCATATCTAATACTGAATTATGAAGAACAACTTTCAGAAGAAAAACATACTAAGAGCATGAGCTAGTGGCTGAGGCTTCTGCAGAATGTTGTTTGCTCTCCAAAGGAATTTGGGTACGTAAGAGGCATGCGGAGTCAGGCAGTTAGTTGGCAGAAGGCCAGCACGGCATTGATCCAGGTGAGGTTTTTCAAACAGGACCATTAATTTTTGGGTAATACACAGCCCCTTGTCTGGCCCATGGCACAGTAAGGAATTTCTCTCTAAGTGACTAAGATTTCCTCCTTGTGGGAAGTGTGGAAAAACATAAAATAAAACAAAACCAGAAGTGAAGCGAATGCAAAACTCCAACTCCATCCATCAGCACTTGTTCAGCCTAACTAGCGCATGTGTGTCAGATAAGCCGTGACCTCATTTTTGGATCTGCACTTTGAGGAGTTTGGGTTCAGGCCAATTTCATGGGAGGTGTCAATGAGCCCTGTGCAGTGTAATTACAAGCCTGAATTAAAAGCCTCTGCAGCTTTGGGGAAATTTGGATCCAACTATGTAATCTCTGATATTAAGCTTGATTTGATTTTGATTTGCTGCCCCCGGGTGAGCTTGGATGGAAGTGTATTGCATTGACTTAACTTCATTTAAGTTCCTACAAACATTTCCTACAGCAATTAACAATGGCCAGAATTAAACCAGTAATACACACTTTTTCTATTAACCAGGGATTACAAATAAAGGCATGTATTAACTCCTGTAGATGCTTCTTCCTCAAGCAGAACACGGTTTAAGAGAGCAATTTCTTCAGTGTCTGAGAAGGGCCAAGAAACCTCATCAGAGCAGACTTCCTTGTGAGATTGCTGCAGTTTCCTGTTTCTGGTCAGGTTAGCAATAGAGCATATGCACAGAAAGCCACAGGTTTGCCACATCTGACGACCAGGGGAGGAATTTTCAAAATTTCTCCGTCACTTCAGTGCCTTCAGCAGTTGCCCTTTGCCATGGACTGAGGGCTGTGGTGGGGCACCAGAGCAGGTTCTGCTGCTGCTTGGGAGCTCCAGCGCTTGGGGAAGGGCAGGTCTGGGCGAGGACCCCAGAAGCAAACGGCTCTGCTGCCAGCAGGGAAGCTGACACCACGGGAACAAGTTCTTCCCCAAAGAATTGCTGTTGCTGAAAAGATGTGGTGGTGTGTAGGATCCGCTTGGATTTTTTTTTTATTTAAGTATTGTTGTCAAAAATAATCTGCCTCAAAGAACTAGGAAATAAAAGAAGGAAAGTGATGAAAGAGTGAAGTGACGTGGAGTCTGCCAGAAAGTAAGGAGTCTGTGCTGCTTGGCTCGTGGCCCTGTTTCAGTGAAAGCTATTTAACATTTTTATAACTGATGGCAAAATTGCACGCTATTAATGGGCCCTCTTTATGGCTCTAATTTATTCTTATTTCTCAGAGGCAATGAAGTAGAGGCCAGATTGCTTTATCCTGCGGTATTAAAAAACCTGGGGCTGAGAAGCTTAGCACTGCTTTGTCAGGATTTTCTCCATCTGGCAAAATAATAGAATAAAATCATCCTATGCAGAGAGCTGCTCTTTTTTTTTTTTTTTTTTTTTTTTTTTTTTTTTTTTTAAATAATGGGCTTTCTTCTTCAATTCAAAGCCTTCAGGGAAAGGCAGTAGTGGAGGGAGTAAATGCATATTTTCATTCATTAGCTGCCTTTTCGATATTCAGGAGCTATGATTCCTAACTGCCAGACTATCTTAAACTTCTCTGAGTATTAGTGGTGTGTATCGAGGTGGAGGCAGACAGAGGTTAAAAACCCTGTTCCAAGATGGGATAGATTTACAGGGGCCAGGCAGGTAATGTGATCCGAGTGGAGGTTACAATGTCATAGGCAAGGCAAGGGAATTCTTATAAAAATAATTTTCCTTTCTTTAAGGGGGAAAGAGAAAAAGAAAACATGAATTTAGTTTTTTTTTTTTTCTTTTTTCTTTCCCCCAGCTATAGTTAGCAAAGGAATTTTTGCTTTCATCAGTATCTGTCAAAGCAGAAAGCAGGTATCCCTAACAGTGAATGAGCTTGACTGTTCATGATCCTCTGAAAGGTTTTTGTGTATTTTGAAATCACCTGGTCAATGGATTGAAACCTCAAGTATGTACCAGGAGTTTCCAGTGAAATAACACAAGTAGGAAATTAGTTCCATGAGGAGTAATTTGAGTGTGCTCACACAAACCGTTCATCAGATAAGCCTGAATAATAAAAGACTTCCTGGGTTTCTGATGCCAGAAACTGATTTTTTAACCAAACTCATGACTAAAAGGTTTGGTGAAAACTGTTCACCCAGCTTAACTATGTATAAGGAAGAATGCAGAGGTACCCAGGGCTGAGTTCCAAATAAAACAGGCTTTAGTAGAACCTCGGTGATGAAGAGAAAAAGGAAAGCATGAGCCCTTTGTAACTTTTCAATCCCTCCCCTCACTTTAAGAATTACATAGAAAGTAAAAGTCTGTGTTACTGAAATTCACAGAATAAGAGGGCCTGAGATTATTTTAAGTATACTTAATTATCTAAACTTCTAATTCAAAGAATATCAAATGACCTATGTCCACTGGGCTGTCTGAAATCATCTTTGGGGAAGTCTGAACCTCAGATCTAAATCTCGGATTTTCCAGGAGTGCAGTCTTTGGGTGTGTTTTCTCACCGGCATGCCATCGTGTCACTCAGGAAACTGCCAAACAAGCAGAACAGGATTTGAGGAAAATACATCGTAACAAACTTCTTTGTTATGTGGCACAAGATTGTTATTTTAATACTCTTTATGGAAAAGTCTAAAAGCCCTGGGTGAAAACAGAGGCTAAGCATTGTGCATATACGAAGTCTCTGCTCCAAAGAGCTTAATATTAAATAGAAAAAATGGATAAATAGTGAAAAGGAAGACACTTGGAACTAAATTGCATAAAGTCCATAGCAGAATGCAGCCTGGAAATGTCTGGTGAGTCCCAGGTCTCCTACATCCTGTCCCAGAGTTTTAGCTACCAGCCTAGGAGTCAGTAATTTCCTCATCTTTACTCTCTATGTTCTATCCATAAACCTGCTCCAGAGTTGTGGTTGCACGCTCTACTTGAAAAAAAAAAAAAAAAAAGCCTTAATTACAAGCTTTGACTGTTAGTTAATTTTTTTAATGACCTTGCCAATGACTAGACCATAAAATTTAGACAAAAGGATTTCTCCATCTCCTGAGCACAGGCACCTTGCCAGCAGCGCATTAGCCAAAAAGCCTTGATATTGTGTACTCTTCCCATAATGTGGTTGCATTTTGGCCTGTATTTGCACAGCATTGTTTTGAGGAACCACTGGCACGTCTGTGGATTGTGTGCTGGATAGTCCAACACCAGTCCTACCCTGAGCCAAAGCAGAGCAACCCTACATCTGCCAGATGTGGGTCTTGTAGCTTTAGATTTCATTCTGGGACACAAAGTTCCTTGTTTACCCTAACAATGAGGTAAGATAGGAAACATGAAACAAGGTGTAGCCTAGTAAAAGCAGGCTGCTGTCATTCAGAGAAAGACAGAGAAAGTCTGGGCAGCAGTGGGAAGTCAGAGGACTTCTCACATTTCATCACTGTACCTCAAGACCCCAAGAACATTATCATTGGGAAGGGAAATTTCATTCAATAATTTAGGATGATTAAGTGTTACTGATATCCGGTCCTCCACGTTCAGGTACGTCAAATGCAACTGGAACAAGGTCTTAAAAGTCTTTTCTTGGCACGTGTCTGATGCGCACCATGTGGATAATGTTTGCCGGTTGACTTTGCCGTTTACAAGGAACTCTATCTTGAGGTCCGTGGGGCTGTTTGAACAGTTGGCAAAATGAAAGTTCAGGTGGCAGTAGATCAAGTAGAGGCCTTGTTGCCGTATCACCAGCTCTTCGCTCTTGCACTGGATGTTTTCACATATGCCCTTCCCAACCAAGCTCAGTTTTGAACCATTTACTGGACTTGACACTAGAAAGAAAAGCAAGGAAATTGTAAAATGAGCTGACGAACTGAGCTAAATTCAAATGTATGGGACGTGCAGCAAGGTATTTTCTAGTAAATAGAGACACCTGCTCTGAGGTTGTCCCACAGGAAACTCCCAGAGAGAGCCCCAGCATGGTGGCTGTGAGCTCACAGATGGAAGTGGGGTGCTGAAAAGTCGCACGGACTGTGCAGCCCTTTGGGAAAGCCGAGACAGGGAGATGTGGTTTAAAATGGCCTTCTGCAATATTTAAGGGAAGTGGAGATGCATATTTGTGTGTTTGTGTGGGGAAGGCATCTATTATGCCTTTTGAAGTTAGAGAAAATATTAATGGGATCAGACAGGGCACCTCACTGACCTCTCATGTACGCAGCGGCTCCCTTGGTCGGGACATTCTGTAGAATTCTTAAAAAGTCTTCGGAGGTGTTCCCTGAAGGAAACAACACGTTAGGTGACCAATCCTGATTTCTTTGTACTGTAAGACACACCGTCAGTGTTCAGGCACCTCTCCTGCTGCACCCGGGCTCTGGACAAACCGCACAGCAGCAGCCAGAGGCGTGCGTGCTTGGGAGCTGGTTCCTGCACCTTGGCTGGTAACACCTACCCTGCACGGGGCTGCCATAGCGCCGTAGCTCCCTCAGTAAACCCTTAACACCTTACAGCGCCTGTAGGACGCGGTTCTCGCTCCCAAACGCCGGCTCCCCGCGGGCCGGGGCTGTTCGTGCGCTGGGTGCGCGGGGCCGGCTCCCTCCCGCGGCCGCGCCCGGCACTGCCGGCGGCTCCGGGGCGCCCGCAGCGCAGCCCGGTGCCACAGCCCGGTCCTGCAGCCCAGATCCTGCAGCCCGGTGCCACGTCCCAACACCACATCCCTGCACCACATCCTGGCCCTGCATCCCAGCTTCTGCATCCCAGCTCCTGCATCCCAGCTCCTATATACCAGCTCCTGCATCCCGTCTCCTGCATCTCACCTCCTGCCTCCCAGCTCCTCCCTGCCCCTATCCCCTTCCCCACCTGCTGCTTCCTTTCCCATTTCACCTCCCTTTCAGCCACCTTTCACTTCCTCATCTACTTTTCCTAAGCCTCTCCTCCTTACTGAGCGCTGAATGCGTGGCACTGATTATTCTTCTTTTATTCTGCGATTATAAAGAGCAGAGTTAGTACAGCTCCGTGTAACCCCGCATGCCTGTGGATTCATAGATGAGATGTACATTCAGGAAAAGAGAGTATCCCCCATGGGGCAACCAGGCAGGTTGGTGGTTGTTCCTCATTGCACTGACCTCTCCTTATTTACATCTCCTGGCCCTGCTGATGCTGGGGAAAGAGCAGCTCAGATGGGAGATTGGGAATTCCCTGTGTTTTATTCCACAGCTGAATACAAGGAATGCAATATGAAGAAATTTCAGGAAAGCCCAACCAAATTATACAACCCTGTCCCAGGGAACACAAATCATCTCTATTTTCCTGTGACTTCATTTACAAAATCGGTATGAGTCATCCACCCAGAAGGGTCCCTAAGGTACCAGTTAATACGCAGAATTAGATACCCAAGACATCAGATGACATATATCTCATTCCTTACATGAAAAGTATAGAAGTTTACTAAATACAGAGTGAGTCAAGAATCTTAACTTCCACAGAATTCCTGAAACTAAAGGTACAAGAAAGCACTTCAATCTCCAGATGCTTACAGTGTCTGCTTAGCCTGATTTTTCAGAGATGCTTGGTCAGGAGGATAGATAAATGAGGGAAAAGCGGGTCCCATACACAGGTCCCACTGGTTTGTAACAGTATCCCCTTTGCACTCATCCTGTTGGAGGAGGCTATGTATGTCTTGAAAGAACTGTAATCTCTCTCTGACTCCATTAGCTGAAACACTTTTGAGGGGAGCAGGTGTTCCCTGCTCTCCAAGAATGAGTAAATTGTGTATCAAAGTCCCTTTTCTGTGCTGGAAATCCCCAGAGAAAAACCAAAGCCTGCTTTTCTGATGTTAGTCATATCAACACAGAGTTTTAATGAGTCTTAATGAGAAATAAGGAGATGGAGAATAGAAGAAAACTCTTCTGACCCTTATTTCAGGCTAATGCTGATACAGTGATAGCGAGAGTCTCTTCTCTGGCAATGCACGGCCAGCATCCTCAGCCCACTTGCGTTACTGATGTCCTTCAGGAAAGAAGAGTAGTTTTAGAGAAACTCAGTGCCATTTCGGGGCTTTACCCTACAGAGCAGAAAATCCCCTGCTGCTCAAGCAGACCTTGGAAGCTGCAGCCCCACAACTTCTGCTAGGCAAGCAGAAGTGTTGTACCCGCATGCAAGCACCTTGATGTTGCCAGGAGCCCCATCAGCCCTGAGCTATCTCAGGATTTTCATGGCATCACTCAAAACCTACCCCTCACTCATATGGCTGTGCTTGCACTTTCAAAGCTGTACTTACACCCATTGATGTCAGCAAGTTTTGTACATGTGTGTTTAAGCCATTTGTTTGGTGACATCAGCTGTGTTTCTGAGAAGGCAAGTTATGGAAAAAAACGTATAGAGACATTTCCTGCCCTCGCTCCGCTGAGACAGCTTGTAACCTTTTTCTAGTTTTATTTCTCAAGTTACTTCTTTTATCTGAAACATTTCAGCACAAGCCGGCAAAGACTGAAATTACTAGAGCTTCAGGACTGATCAATGGATATGTTCAATCACATCGCCTAATTGGCTTTTCTCTAGTAGCAGTGTAAATCAGAAGTAATCCCACAGAAGTCAATAGGATTATATCAGTTTAAAAACACTGTGAGAAGGAGAAATAAGAAAGCCACAACTGGGTCTAAGTACCAAGGAGCCCACACTGGTTTCATGTCTGCTGTGATGCACGGACACTGCAGATCAGGTTGCTTGAAAGAAACCTGCCTATAAGGAAGGCTTCGTAGCAGGAAGCCATTTAGGTTATTTTGTCCTAAGGAAGCCCTTAGGAGACAATGCACTTTTGTCTTCCTGACCCCTTTTACCACAGGATAAGCATCCAGAGGGGGGCAGCCCTGAAGGAAAGGACCAAGCAATTTTTGTGTGCGTTACGAAGCTTTTCCCCACCGAGCCAAAGGGGCTGTGAAATGGCTCAGTGGAGCTGCAGCATCACTGCCACCTCCACGATTTCCACCTGCAAAATGGAAAGAGCCTTGCATTGAAACAGCAGGACCTAGAGAGGCTGTGTCTGCCTGCCAGGAGGAACCTGAGGCTGCAGGACACATGGTTGTGTCTGAGCCAGGTTTGAGGAGATGTGGCTCCACCTGGGGAACATTCCTCACCACTTGCTGCCTCAGTTTCCCCACCTGTGAGATAGCTATAACAGGAGCAGAGGCACAGGGCAGTGGTACCAAGAGCCAAAAGTGGCATGACAGATCAAAGCATTGCTACCCGGGAAGGAAAAGCCCCTTAGATGTTTTGTTTGTTCGTTTTTGAGGCTCCTCCTAGTACCAACCACCCATGTGTTACGGTGAGGTCATACAGCATTAGGGTTGGCTGGGAGCTGAGTGAGGACAGACAAACAGATCAAAAACCTATCTTATCTTAAGGATAAATTAAATAAGAAAAAAATCCTTAAAGGTAAAGAAGGCAAGAAACAGCTTTCAATCCTTTCTTACACTCTACCGATTTAAATGCTGACAAAATTAGGCAAAGTGACTTCATATGTTTCTGTCAGAGTGCTGGAGGCAGCAGATCTTGCTGTGCTTTATTTCTTTATGACACCCCACAGCTCTCTCTGACCTCCCCCCTTCCAGTTTCAGTGTTCTGCAAGCAGCTACTGGCCAGCACTGGTGGAGAGCCCCAGCTGCGTGGTGCTGTGACAAGTGCCAGCTGGGTGATGTCCTCTCCTGGGCTCCACCTGTGGCTGCGCTTGTTGTGCATGCACTGGGTGTCTTTGGTCCTTGGGAGCCCAAGGACAACCACACTGGTCCTGGGCATGCAAAGAGGCAAGAACTCAGCTGGCAGTTTTGCCTCCTTCCAAAAAATGGAGGCTTCAGAAGCATCCCTTTCTTTCCTTCGGATTTGGGAGTAGCATCTTAGGAACTCCTCATCACAACAAACCTGACTACTGCAGGGTTTTTTGCACAGAATTTAAGGCCAAAACTCTTCAAGGCTTTCACCTGCTTGCCAGTATTGCGTGGTTCACATAATTTCATGGAGCTGTTTGTATATGTGTATATATGTTCATCTATAACTTGCATTTTTAGTATTGGAGAGGCAGAGGATCTAACATTTAGCATTTTGGCAATACTAATCATCTCGTTACTAGCTAAATAAGCCCCTCTTATGGCTAACTGGAATCAGGCTAGCAGCAGTTTCCGCTGGATGCTTGCCAAGGAGCATGCCTCTGCACTCCTTCTAGCATTTGCAAGCCCGGGCTTGACAAAATTTTCTGAACCGAGAAACACAGCTCATCTGCCCTGACCTTTCTGAGAGCAGACAGACCCTCATACAGTTTTACATATATTTGCACAAACATGCATGTGTATTGTAGCTGATAAAGCAAAAAAAAAAACAACACTGGTGTAAACATCAAGTGTCCATTTCTGAAGAACCTGTTTGCACTCAGATATTTTACTGCAGTTCTGGAAAGACTGTTTGCTTCACCAGCTTCAGCCTGATTTACCCTAGGGTAGAAAATAATGTATAGGTGAATGTCACCTGTATTACCTTTAATTCCTGGGACCAGATTTTCTATTTGGGAAGCTATTTCCCCTTGCAACTGTGAATGGAGTGCTGAATTTCCTTTGAATTATCTTTATACGTATGAGTAGTGCACGTGTACCTATGTATCTGCAGGTTTTTCATTTTGTGAATGAGAGCGGATTTGGTTTCATGTCTCTGTAGTCCCAAATAAAAAGAAAAGCCACCAGTCCAGGTTTATAGCATTTCAAGGGAAATGAGGCTTGGTGAGGACAACGAGGAGAGGATGAGGACTGAACATCTCCAGATGCCGGCAGATCATAAATTTCTCTGTGCCTTGTTTTTTTTTTTTTCCACCAAAATGAATCTACCAATCATACCCTTCTGGCCTGTATTAATATTTATGGCAACCTGTGATTCCATATTTATGAACGTGGATGAGTTTCTGCAGAGAAATATTTCCCCAGAAACAACATTTCACAAACATTTACCTCACGATGAATTTAATGCCTTCCTCTGTTGCTTCAGCAACGATGGCACAGGGGTTTTCAGGAAATTGCTATCGTTTTTCACACAAACATTTAATTAGCTGACGTTGCATCTCAGCTACTGCTTGCACATTTCTGGAAACCCATCCATTGAGGACAGAGAGCTGAGTCAGGAACACAAAACTCCTATAGATCTGCTTTAGTGCCCACTGGTGTATAGCTAATAATAGAACACAATCTCCTTGGAAATCTAAATGCAAATCACAGTGTTTTTCCTGCCTTGAGATCACTAAATTAATTCAGGGAAGTAGCCACGTCTGGACCACTTTCCCATCGTAGTGCAATGCATTCTGCCCGAGTGAGGCGCAGACGTTCCCACCTGCACACTCCTGCATCCCTTGTTAGCATCTCCGAGAGGCTTTGCACAAGTTGGCCCCTTCCGCCTCCCCATTTCTACAGACACAGGGTTGGAGCAAGGCTGAGCACCCAACTGGCAGCTCAGCAATGCTCAATTTGCTTTCTCGGCCTCCTTTCAACTCAGGGCTTCCAAGTCCCTTTGTGAAGCAGGGGGTGCAACACCCTCCAAATTACATTATCAACACAGGGGCTGTCCGAGGGGCAGGCACAGATGCAAACCTAAATCCACAGCCACTCCAGCCTCACCACCATCCTGCAATATTTCTTATGCTTCTGGTCTTGCTCTGCAGCTGCAGGATGGGCCTTGCAACAGCCGCCGAGGCTCCCTGCTTAGAAGTCAGCAAGCGATGCCTGGCAGCGGACGACAGAGCTCCGTGCCGAGGGGCCCGCTGTAAATTACCCACTGGGATCTATTAATCAATTAGCCCTGCTTTATGCATTTTAAGAGAAAAATAAAAGGCCATTGTAATTTGCTCACACTTTAATGCTCCATTACCCCATCAGAGCTGTGCAATAGAGCCTGACAGGAGGGGAGGTGTAGGCTGATCGAGCACCTGCACACACTGCAGACAGCTTTCGGCAGCCCTTCCTGCCTTGTGGCATTTTGCTATGCCCTCCTTTGTCTTACACTAATGGCATCACTGCAGATTTAACAGCAGAATTTAGAGCAACAGGATTCCTGTAATTGATATTGACCCAAAGGCAAAATGTTTTCTAGCTAAGGAAACACGTCTTGTAAATTCCTGGAGAGAACATGCTCCTGCTGCCTGGCACCTGCCAGGTGTTGATGAGGAGAAAGAACAATTGGCACAGATTGTGAGATTTGAAAATAAATAAATAAAATTGCAATGCAACTTTTTTTTTATTTTTATTTTTATTTTTTTTTCCTCAATGTGAGACCTCTCCTTCCTACCCTGGGAATGCCAGTATTGCTTGTGTTTTGCTTTTACAAAACCCTGACCTACAATAGGGGCTCAGTGGCTCCTCCTCTGTCAATCACTAGACACCTCTCCGACCGCTTTCACTACCTCTTTCTAATCGGTGGTAAAACTCAGCCATGAAAACCAGCGCCGTTCTGGTGATTTCTCTGAGGTTGGGCTGGCTTGTGAGGCAGAGGCTCTGCTCTGGGGCTGCACCGCTCCACAGGCACTGGGGACTTGCTGCCACCATGGGGGATGTGGGCAGCCAGGCTGAGGCTTTGCAACCACTTAGGTTTGCAAAGCTCCTTTCTGGGCACTTTTGGGGATGCACTGGAATGAGGCTGTGATAAGGCTGCCCAAACTCCCTTATTCAAATCTGCCCTGCATGTTAAGACCCTGCTTTATTTCTGAGGATCTTCAAGTACGAGCTAAAGTACCAGAAAGCCATAGAAAAACTTAAGGAGATATATAGAAGATACACAGAGATAAAAAAATGCAACTAGGGGACATCCTGAGGGGAGAAGAAAATCCCTCCTGTTTTACAGGAGTTTGAAAACACACAAAAATGATGGTGAGGTTGATGCAAAGTTCTCAGGAAGGGCAGTGGGACATGCAGGGACAACTTCGTGTGGTATGAAAAAAGCCCAATACAGAAGAGTCCTGGATTCAAAAATTCTGCTAGTTAGAGTGTATGTTGCCCAAATGCTGCATTATGTCACCTGTGCACAAAAACAGAGGTGCAGAAAATATAGTTATGTAAGGAAGGTTTTCTGGACCTTGATTTTTCAGATTCCTGTTGTGCCAACACCTCTAGATGATCACTGTGCTTCAGTTTTCCCATCTGAGGAGTGGGAGGTGATGCTATCTCATATCTTCTGGGACTAACTAGGAACTCGTATTTGCAAGTCAAAATACTTGGTGCTAAGGATCAAAGAAACAGGAAGGCAATAGAAATTAAATAAACAGTGCTTCTCTGATTTATGCTAAGGGAAAACAGAATCTTGGTAGGCTGTCTCTGCTAGTCTAGTTTGAAAGGTTTCTCCAATTTTGGGTTCCCTATGTCCGTACTCTGCTTGTTTAAATTCCCTGCTCCTTGCCTTTTGCTGCTGTTTTCCAGATGCCTCTCCTCGACCTACCCCTTCCCTCCTTCCTTTTTCCTGCAAGCCAGTAAAAAACACGTAACTACTCCAGACCAGAGGAGTTCAAGAGGAGCTCCTGTTGTTTTGAAATATGTGCTAACACATTTACACCCTGTCCCAGGACAGGGACCAGGGACATTATGTCCCCATGTGCAAGAGCCAGCCCTTAAAATAAGACCTAATAGAATGATGTTCACATCCTCTGGCAAAAATGCTTTCTTGCAAAGACACCTCAGGGCAGATTCAGAAATGCTTGTTATTTCCTCAGCTATGCCCTGGTTTCCGGAGGTACCGAGTAATTTGAAAGTTTTGTTCTTCTTCTTCTTCTTCTCTCTTTTTTTTTTTTTTTTTTTCCACTGCCTTGGCTTTTCACCAAGAAGTGACTTTATGTGAAATGTTGAGATGTGCATAATTGCCTTACTCACAATCCTGGGCAATATTTGCATTACAAGTGAAACACAGCACAGGCTGTCAATTTAGGTGTCTTACCTTTGCGGATGCGTTCTGTGATGCCCTCTGTGGCAGGATCAGCTGCCTGGAAAAGAAATGAGAGTGGGGAGGTTATTCTGGGGGCAGTGCACACCTGTGTTCAAGTGGGACTCGTCGATATTAAAAGTTTCCATTGCATCCCAGGAAGGCACTGCAGAGCTGGGAGTTACACAGCATGTGGCTCCTACAGAGCACCCCAGCATCCCAGTGAGGGAGAGCTGTGGAGCACAGCCCTTCAGCGACTCTGCACTTAGAAAATTCATCCTCAGTCATTCCTTATCACAGCTTTTTTGTTTGTTTGTTTGTTTGTTTGTTTGTTTCCCTGAAAGTAGTAGAAATCTACATTTCTGACACAGCAGATTTCCCAGTGCTGTAAGAAATGTGTGTGGCTTTTGTTGGGGTTGTTTTGGAAGCAGAAGCCCTGAAGCTCTCCCTGTGGCTTGCAAAGCTTGGGGGGAGTAGGACAGAGTAGGACTGGACACCCTTCAGAGCCAGTGTTTGGCCCTGGGAAGCCTGGCTGGATGAAAATAAAAGCTGCAGAGCCCCAGCACGGGTCTGGGAGCAGAAGTGTTGTCCTGCCTCACCTCTTCTCCTACTTCTTGCTTCTTGACCCAAAGGTCAAAAAGGAATGGGGAATTGTCCTCTGTCAGCATGGCCTGAAAACTTCTCAGGAAACATGCTCCAAGTGTGAAAGGTGGTAGGCTTCCTCTGTGGTCTAGCCTCTGTTTTGGCATACCTCTCTGCTTTCCAAACATGAATTCCTCGGGCTTGTGCCTGCTTGTGTATCTACTTCCATGCAGGTTAGAGCTCTAACAGCTCATAACTGTACATCAGTGCCCCCAGGGAGCAAACAAATTTTCCTGACAGCTGTGGAAAGAAACTGTGAGTGCCTCAGCACTTGAAACTCTGTGTCATGTCCCTTCGCTCACACACAGTGCTAATTTCAGTATCAGGGAGTGGTTTCTATTCCCTTCCAGGCTATCCTAAACTGACTCTTTTATTCTCAAATCTAATGACCTGGGCTAATTGTGCTGTGTAACCTGGCCAGGCCCAATTCAGCATGTCCAAGGATTAGAAAGTTGGGAATCTGGTACTAGCTTTGGCAGAACATCTGTTATCTCCTGGGAAAAGCAAGGCAGCCTATACATGTGGCAGGAGACACCATCATCCGCAGTGGTCTGGAGATCTCAAGGGTCTTAAAATATGAGCACTTTATTTCTAGGTGTAAATAGAATAATGTGTGGCATGAGGAGAAAGAAGATGCTTGGACAGTAAGAGAAGTCACACTGTGTCTGTTTCTGGTACTTAATGTTGTGGCCTTAGATGTTTAAGAATACATTTAATTTTGACTTTGGCCTAAAGTGACCATGCTTTCAACTACAGCTGAAATGTAGAGAAATGTCTGTTCCAGGCAAGCTGAAATTATCCTTTGGTCTAATAGCAAGATATCGCATCCTGCAGATAGAGATTGTATAGGTGCTTTGTGATTTGGGAACCTACAATATCTGAGTCGTTCATTTTCTCTTCCCACACCCATGTAAGACAGGGAGAAAGATGCTATCTCCCCAGCAAGATTACGCTCAATGAGATCAGAAAGAAAAGCCATGGCTGCCTACAGAGAGGTTGGTAAAGTAACCGAGATGTTACTATCAGTGAGGTGCTCGCCTCTCAGCCCTCCCTCAGAGACAGCATGCAGGATGAGGCTGATGGCACACAGCATGCTTTGTAGCCAGGGCAACAGAAAAAGAATTAAAATGAATTAACATATTGTGTCCTCACTTGGGAAGTCTCCCAGTGGGTGAAAACATGAGATATTAATTCAATTTATTTTAGTGGCAAGTGACTAGGTATTCAAATAACACTTCAGATCTTGCTTTGAAATATTACTAGCATTGCTGTTTTCTCTTGTGACAGCCAGCACATTGCGTGTAATAGTGTAATTTGGAATGCACAGGGACACATGCTAGGAGCTCAGAGAGGTTTAACAGAGCACTGTCTCGGGAACCATTCGGTACAATGAATTCACCCTGTCTGCAGTGATCTGGGTGCTGCTGATGAAGGATCTTAGAGTTGGCAAGCAGAAGAATTTGAGCTTGCTTCATTAGAGAAAATGATAATCAGGTGCCAGTGAAAGTCCTGTCTTTCTTCCTTCCCTTAATTACTTTACAAGAAAGTTTCCCAAGCTGAGACAGACCGATGCTGTTATAGTAGTCACTGAACCACAGAATGGCCCGAGTTGGAAGGGACCCACAGGGACCATTGCATCCAGGCCCTGGCTCCGTTCAGAACCACCCAAAAAACAGACCCTACGTCTGAGAGCATTGTCTAAATGCTCCTTGAGCTCTGGCAGCTCAGTGCCATGCCCACATCCCTAGGGAGCCTGTCCCAGTGCCTGACCACCTCTGCGTGCAGAACCTCTCCCTAACACCCAGCCTGAGCCTCCCCTGTCACAGCTCCACGCCGTTCCCTTGGGTCACTCTAACACCCGGGCTCAGAGCTGAGTATTTGTTTAACCAGAAGTCTCCAAAATGCGTGCCCACCTCTACAAAGCCCAAGACAACGCACCCCAAAACACAGTGCCCCAGAAACGAGCCTGAGATCAGCTTCATGAGGCCCAGGGCTTTCGCAAGAGTGCGTCCCGCAGGTCCCAGCAACAGAAGCTGAGGACATTAATTAATCTCCGGGCCTCAGACCTTCGTTACCCGTGGCTGGCTGAGCCGGGGGGCAAAGCAGACGTACTTTGGTGTTCAACGAGTGGGAAATTGCTGGCAGGGGCTATTTTCATTTCCTTTTTCCTTCGTTTTTGTCAGGGTTGTCCACCAGAGGGGGCCAGCAGGCTCCGATGGGCCTGCTCTCGGCAAGGCTCCTTACAGACCTGTAAGCAGCCATAAATCAGCCAAAGGCAGCGCAGGGACGTGGCTCCTGCAGCCCCACTGCTAACGGGGTTTGTAGGGTAACTAGCGGCAGGACAAGAGGGAACGGCCTCACGTTGCACCAGGGGAGGTGCAGGTTGGAAATGAGGAGACATTTCTGCTCAGAAAGAGTGGCCAGATGTTGGAATGGGTTGCCCAGGGAGGTGGTGGATTCACCATCCCTGGGGGTGTTCAAGGAGAGGCTGGACGTGGTGCTTGGGGACAGGGTTTAGTGGGTGACATTGGTGGTAGGGTGATGGATGGACCAGATGATCTTGGAGGGCTTTTCCAACCCTAATGATTCCATGATCGACTCCAGTGGCCTGAGGAGGAGACCAGCAAACACAAAGACCAGCACTGACTCCTAGCAGTCAGCTGGTGCCTGAGCCACACTGAGAGGACTTGCCCATGCCGCTTAGAGGGTAACCATATGGCCCCTACAAAATGCAGAGCAGTGACAGACTGTCCCAGACTTCACCCAGAATCTGTTCATAGTGCTACACCTCATGGCCTAGGTGTCTAATACAGCGTACCTTGCAGTACAGTCCAAGGTGTCCTGGGCTTTATGTGTCCTAATTACAGTTCTCTATTCCTTTCTTACCTCTTCCACTGATTTTCTCTCTCTCCATATATATAGACATCTACATAGGTGTGTGTGTGTTTATCTATATCTACCATCTATATCTATCTATATATCTAGCAGCAGTGAACCGCAGCAGGCAGAAGCACGGAGGCCTCATGGCCCTTCTAACAGTGTTAAAGAGGGAAAATGTAGGCAAAGGTCCACTATGCAGCAACTGCTCTTGTCTGTGAGGAAAAACAAAAATCACTTCTAAAAGATGTAGGTAAGTGAATGGGCCAATACAAAGTGTTTCTGCAGATGAAAGCTGGGAACTGAACTGACTTCAGCTCTGAATGTAGTTCCAAAAAATGACACTTCCCAGGTCTGACACTGTGCTGTACCACCTTTCTTGAAAACAAAGTGTAAAGGAAATTTCTTAGGGTGTTGGAAAATGTGGGGGGATGAATAATGTTTCCAAATCTAACACTGTTTCCAAAGCAGCTGCAGTAATGTCATTACTCTTTTAAATGAAAACCTTGACTCTTTCAGTAATATTGTTCCTCTGGCAACTGGTGTAACTGCATTTATCCTGATGGAGAAGTAATTTAATGCTTACTTTCATAATAAGTACAAATGAAAGCCTCATTATATAGGAAAACTGTGGCAATTCTGTAATTACCCAGGCTGTTATTTTAAAGATCTCCCTTAATGTCCCACTATTTATCACTTGAAAATCCCCATGTCTCATTCTAACTGTCTCCAAACTGCTTCTCTTTTGGAAGAACGCTGATTTCAGGTAAATGACTCCTTGCTGGTACAACTTAAAGAAGTATCAGTCAAGCTTTAATGGTTTAATTTCTGGGTAATGAGCATACACAGATACATAAATTGTACAGGATCAATTTAGTAAGAGAAAATATTGTGCTGAATGAACATATTTTGTTTTCCATGGCCAGCATCATTCAGCAGCTCCATGCTGGTGCTTTCATTCTATGAATCATAGCAGAGATGCTTCAGCACTTAGATTTTTGCACTAAGATTTCAAAGGCTATAAAACTTCTAACGTGATATTATACTCTGGTAAAATTCGTAGCAACATTCCTGGTAGGATCAGAAATGCACCTTTTGTATTCACAAACCTGTACCTCTGTCCTGGCTGGACCTGTCTCACTGATTCCCCATTCAGTCCCAGATCCTCTTTATTTTAAGAAGGGGGAAATGTCTTTAGGCAGAGGGAAGAGTTCTTTTTCTCAGACCTTGTCTCACTTACATCCTTCAGCTATCCTTGCTATAACTATTTTTTCATTAAAAAATCACTCCCAAGAGCAAGACTGACAAAAATGTTGAGGCATCACGAGGTTCCTTGCCACATCCACTGCTCAGGGTCGTTCAGGGGAGCTCTGCTTCACTGCCTCTCATGGCATCCTAGCAGACAGCACCACACAGCGTCACACAGCCAGATGGCTTGTACTATGTCTATCCCTAACAGACACTGCCAGACCAGGCAAGACCAGACCAGACCATCTTGGACAGCGGTTGCTCTCCAGAGAAGTGGCAGGGGATACATATAAGCCAGGCAGCAGACACTGAGGCACTGATATGTCTTCATTCCACTTCTGCTCCTAACTAGACTGGACATAGTGTGGATTGACTCTTGGATTATGAGCTTCCCACTTCCATTCATAGAGAAGAAATTGCATGCTAGAAATAATGTTGCCCATGGAGCAATGATTTCTTTTTTTGAAGGTTCTTTTCTCTCCCTCTTTGTTTTGTCCCCTATCTTGTGTGTGTACTCATTACAGGTGGCAGAGATTAATCTGCTAGCTACAGAATATTATTTGGAGAGAGGGAGGTTACATTAGAAAATAAAGAAAAAAGAACAAAAGAAAAAGGCAATGAATTAAGTGAGAAATTGCTTACCGTCCTCTGAATGACTAAGACCATGATGGTGGCTAGTGCAAAGACGAGTAATGTGGCGAGGGTAGCGATGATGAAATACAAACATGTTTTGTTAGTGGCTCCAAGCCTCCTTGAAACGGTGTCTTCACTCACATGCATGGCTGATTCATGAGAGTCCTTCACCTGAAAAAGTGTTTGCTCTTGTGCCGAGCACATTCTTATATAGCTCTCAGGGTACTGCTCTGTATCTCCCCTTGATCAGGTTCAGGTCGCAGCCCATCTCTGTTCCTGGCAGGATTTTCCCCCTTCATCCTGGCTCATGTGATCTGGAAAAAAAACTTCATCACTTGTGGTACGAAGAAAGAAGGACCTGGGGGCGTGATGCAGGTTGCAGCTGTGAAGAGGGGAAGGAGCTTCATGTTCTTGATCAGGGATTTCGCGACAGCCGTCTTGTATGCTGCATTGGAGGTTTCTGATGTCAGAAGGTGAATAGTTACCAAGATCAGTCCCCCCCCTCCCTGCCGCTGGCTTTCTGTGAAACAGAGAGCTATGCAAATTTTGTTTCATTTTATACTCAGTGCAGCTACAGCTCGGTACAGTACCTCACCCCAGAGCGCTGCCTTCCTGTTGCACAGAGTAATTTCTTGTGATTCTCCGCAGCGTCCCAGCGCCGTGATCGCCGGCGCTCTGCATTGACCTGGGCTTTGTGTCTGGTGGCTGCTGCTCCTGCCTCTGAAGTCTGCAGATGCTGGGTGAGATTATGCTTGAACATTTCTCAGAAATTGTCAGGAAGATGTCTCTGATGCAGGACACAAATTCTAGGCAAAGGCATAGACAGAAAGTGGTCACACCAAAGTAACTGAAAGCATGATGTCAGGATGTGCCCGCAGAGCATGTCTGTATTTGCCTCCATGCCTTGACAGCAGCTGCTGAATTTATCCTGGTTTATCCCTTGCCCACAAGTATCTCTGTTCCAGGCTTGGTCTAGCACCCAGCCATGAGGTTTCTCACCAAACCCAATCGAGACTTCTCTAACTGGAAGCATCCCCACTCCTTTCCAGCGTGGAATCATCAGTAATACCTAACCCTGCATTTTTTGTATGAGATGACTGCTTGCTTTCTGGCTAGCCCAACTCGAAAGACATTTTGGTGTTCTGAAAATTTTCACAGTTAGATGCATGTCCTCTTTTGATTCATAACTATGGAAACCAAATAACTTGTGTAACAAATCAGGATGACTAGGATTATTATTTATCTTAGCTATTCCCAGTTCACTGATGTACGGTCATCAGAATGAACAAACAGGATCTTACCAATGGTCCATCTATCTCAACAGCTTACCTTCTGTAGAGCACAACAGGAGATGCCTCGGGAAAGATATCAGAACAGAAAAAGCAGGTAAAGTTATTTATTGAGTGTAATTATCCAGGTTCCTCTGATTTTGGCTTATGGGACTCCCAAAGCAGACATGGTACCTTTCTATTTTAATCCATTTCTGCTTTATACCCCTGACATTAAGGCGTCCTGGCACCTTACTGTTATTAATACTTAGCTTTAAAAAATATCATCAGAGCACAGCAGTACAAAAACTTGTATAGATTTCCAAACAGTGTTTTTCAGAGCATCGCTTATCACTGTGGAAACAGGCAGTCTATTTTAATCAGGAGACAAAGGGAAGAAACCTCCTCTCCTGAAAGATGAGATGATAGAGTAAGATGCTTGGTCAGGGCTTCCTCAGGAAGTCTGTCACTCAAGCCTGGGAGGTGGGATGAGGTGGATCTTCACCCTCTCAGTCCTGCCTCATGGCAGCAAACATTTTGGACAGCACCTGGAAGCAGTGGTTCTCAATCACCTTGCTATGCACTGGAAATTAGTCTTGATTTGCAAGGAAAAGAACTGCACATTCCTGAAGGCTCTTTTGATCCCTTCCAGCAGCCAGTCCTGCAGAGCTTCAAACCTATCCTTGGGAAAGCAGAGCGTGGAGGTGTTTCCAAAGAGCATCATTGCTCCGTAGCAATGTGACAATTGTGAAATGCAGGAAGATCCAAACTGCAAAGATCTTGCAGTGACTGACGGCATCTATTATACTTTAAAAGATATTAAGCATCTCTTGCTCATGGTGGAGCAGATACATACCTCAGCAAGGAAGATGACTTGCAAGAGAGTAATGGTGTTGTAGTTTTAAGAATGTCCCAGCATCCTCAGTGTCATGAGGAGAGCACCATCCTCTGTGAGCTTGTAGGTGTTTGTGGCTGTACAGAGATGTGCATGGTCAGCTCTACCTGCAAATGTCAAATACTTGTGCTAGCCTTACGTATAAGTAGACAACCAGATACTGCAGTGGTGATAATGATAAAATGAGATCAATGAAGGCCATTAAAGGAAAATGGGAAAAGTTCAGCCCCTGTGCAAGCAGGTGCAAACCAGATTAAATTTGGCTTGTTACTTTCTAGACTAAATTCAGTCAACCCACTAGCATGGCACTTGAATGCTGCAGCGTTTAGTGAGCCAGCAATGCTGAAGTCTGCTCAGAAGGTCACATATAAAATATATGGCAGGCACAGAGCATCTGCTTGTGCAATGATATCATGCAGTACAGATTTCCAAGACAGCAAACACCTAAGAATGCCCCAGGTAACAGCAGGATCAATGGATGATTCCCCTTCTTTCACCGAGGAGGGTGAAATGCCTTGAATTGTCGAAGGGAAATACTGCTCAGCTGAGCCAGATGTACAGCTAAGGCAGCCAGTAGTTTTGCAGCAGGATAACATGACAGGTTGACTGGATGCTTCTGCTCCTGTAGCTTTGTCTTAGGCAGTAGATAAACCACCTCACCTCCCTGTGAAATAGCTGCTCTTGGGGTACAGTGGCTGTATACCCTGGCTTGAGGGTGGTGATGCACTTTAAGACATAACTTTAATGCAATGCTCTGTTACCCTTTATGTCCAACAACCTCACCCTACAAAACCTATCATGCCAGCTGCCTGATTATGCCTGATTTCCAGAGCCCAGTTCACTGTTTTCATGCCTTCTGAGCAATGTTGTATCCATTCTCACAAGCTCCAGTTGAGAGGCTAAATAGCAGGTGCTTGCCCTGTATTTGCATTGACTCTTCAATATGAGGCGCCTGCTGCATCCTCTGCAGCAAAGAGCTTTGCTTAAAAGGACAAAGAGGGAGAAAACAAGTGAACCACAAAATCAGCAGTTCTAATGATTTCTTGGTAGAGTTTTCAAGTGAGTGTCTTTAGAAGAAAAATATGAAATATCCCAGCCCCCTTTTTAATATTTATTTATCTACTCCTCCACTGAAAGGAACCAAATAAACTTACTGAGAACTGAAAACCCATCCATGTGGTCAATGGAAATTCACCTTTGACTGAAGTTTGTGAGAACTGAAAACTTTTCTGAAAGACATTAAAAGCCAATTCTTCAGAGACATATATGTGCCCAGCTGCCACTAAAATCCAGAGGCGTGAAGAGTGCAAATGCCTTTAGCAGTTTCTGTTTTGATCCTCAGTGGGAACTGGGTCCGTTTCTCATCAAAACCATCATTCATGTTTATGCTCATATAGTTTACTGCCAGAGTTTTGTCTTTAGATTTCCACGATCTAAGAGAGCTTAGAATATGTACCATGATGTATCTTTTATTATCGTGTATGATTCCTCACCTCATCCCCCTAATTAAGGGTTTTAGATAGCAAATATGCTTTTGGGCTCTTACCTTCAAAGAGAACCTCTTAAAGAAAGAGCTCTTTGACTTCAGCTAAATTGTAAATCACTTGAAATGGAAATGCAACATCAGTAAACTGAGGTTACTGCAAAACATCATTAGTACTCAAGGTATGAATCACAGGATTTTAAGTTTCCTCCGATGAATCATTCTCTTGTATTGTGCTTCGGTGTTATGTATGTACTCTGCATCTCAGCCTGAGCTGAGAGAGATGGATGCCTGGGCCAGGGTCCTTCTGCTTGAGCACTCCTCACTCCTGAAAAATGCTTCAGTAATTGATCCTGCAGGAGTAGCACATGCACTCATAACCATGGATCAGCAGAGGTCTGGTCCACCTTGCCTTTCATTTACTGAGACATGGTAAAGTACGTTACCTGCTAGGTGGGCAGGTTATTGTGGGCATCTCCAGAACAGTTCTGCCCCCCACCAACTTCCACCAGGGGGAGGAACTAAGAGGATATTCAAAATCCCAGTGATGCCTAATTTCCATTGAAAGTCAGCAATTCAAGGATTGAGAAAGATCTTTTAAAATGGTATTTATTAAAAACTGTACCTATTTGTGTGATCCTGATCCAAGGCTGGTCACAGAAGGAAGTAAATGACATTCCAGTATCACACTAACACTGCTGTGATGATATTTTTGGCAGTTACCATAAAAGAGTCTTCTGAGGGAGATGCTGCATATCTCATCCAGGCCTTCTTCTGCTCTTGCAACACATTGGAAGGATTCCAAGAAAAGCAATGTTCTTTTCTCATTTTGTTTCTCCAGTAAAATTACTGAATAAAAATAGACATCAGACAGTAGGAAAATAAGAGAAAATAAAAAAGGTTAGAACTGCCGTTGCACAGTATTATCTCCTCGGGAAGCTACGTAGTGTTTATTTGTGCTGTGCGACTGTCTTTGTTGTTCAAAAGAATTATATCACTCAGCCTTGTAAGGCAATAGAAACACAGGTATATTAAATTAGCTGAAAATTGGCTATAGGGGGAAAAACATCTTTTTATACTGGGGGTGATATGCACCATCCATCTCTCTAGAAGTACAGGTAGAAAGCAGAGGTGTTAAGATAGATAATAAAATGCAGTAATAAAGCAGTATAAATGGAACAGTTATAAAAGTACAATAACTTCTACAGATTTGTCAGAGAGTGCATTTGCTCAGTAGGAGTTTTTCTCTTCCCAGACAGTACCAGTTCTGCCCATGTAGCATCCTTCCCAAAGAAAGGAGCTGCCTACTCTCCTGGAAAATCTTTGGTATTTTTCAGCAACATTTGCTGTCAAGAGTCAATCAAAACAGAAATGTTCTTTTCGGAGCACTAATCCCCTCTGCATTCTGATGAATGGATTGGGAGTAACAGGAAGGAGGTAATGCATGAATCACCAAGCTGTAAGAAATAGGAAGATTAAAAACATACCTTAAATCAAAAGTGCAGAGTTCTTTAGAATGTGATTTTTTCAAGCATGTCTGGAGTTTTCAGGTACCTCAAATTCCAATTATTCAGTGAAAAAACACTGGAAGAATTCATGCCCAGCATGGTGTTCATCACTTCCTGAACACCAGGCCATTTCTGAGTGATTCGAGCAGCGTAATCAGAAATGGAGCCACCCAGAGCTATACTCAGGCTCTGGTGCCTACTCTGGATTCTACATTTAAAAGAAGAAGGAGGCGTGCATCACTTTGCATGGCAGGAAGAAATAGCTGTAAGCACTGAAAGTTGCAGAACCGAAGGACTTTTGGAAGAGGTCTGCAGAGACCATGCTTTGACCCTCTGCTGTGAGGGAAGGCAGCACTGCAACCCGCCACATCCAGACATCCCAGGGCTGGCAGAGAGATGCAGCACTGTGACCAGGGCATCTTAGAAAAGGATCTTACAGTCAACATACATAATAGATTCCTAGCTTTTAAGTCAGGAAGGGGCTATTAGATCACATAATTTGGCATGCTACTCAGGTAAAGGCCATACAATATTACTCAGTCATTCTCAGATCGGCCAAAAACCTTGTTGGTCATTTTGTTTGTTTATTTGTTTTCAGGAAAAAAAAAAAAAAAAAGAATCAGGTTGATGAGCCATGCAAAGAAACATCAGGTGAGGGCTGAGTTGTGAGACAGGCAGATTTTTGTTTTGCTTGAGTTGTGAGACTCAAACAGATTTTTGCAGCTGTGTATGGCCATCCCACCCAAAATAAAGAAGGGTGAGGCACATAGACACCTGGGGCTGCAGGTGAGCAATGGGTTTGGTAATGACAACAATGCCGCTTAGGTGGAAAGGGGAACTGAGGTGTCTTTGAAGACATCAACATAAGTGCCTAGGGGGAGGAAATGCCCTAGGAGGGGCATTGCTCTGGAAAGTTGAGTCTGCAAGAACAGGAATTTTCCTGTGTATGAATATGAACATGAATATGAAACTTGGTAACTGGTAAGAAATTGAATCCTGAACTAACAACTAGTTGATATGAGTTAAGTCAAAAACTATTATTTGTGTTCCTTGCATGAGAAGAGTGTATCGAAAACATTTGATTGAGGAGCGATGAGTAATTTGGAGATCAGGTGAAAAACAGTGAAACATTCCAGGGGATCAAATCATCTCTGGTTAAACTTCACTAGAAGGGCAGAATTACATGACACCTGAATTTAGCTGACAGTGTAACATACACAGATCAGAAATAAAGGCCACATGAAAGCTGGTCTTTATTTGATGGCTAATAAATCTCCCTGTGTCTTATAAAAAGGGAAATATACATAACTTGCTCGGTGTGGCATCTGTACATTAAACCCTATCGGGAAATAATATGCGAACCAGGGAAAAGTCAGTCACATCTAGCTTGAAGCACAGTTCATATATCACAGCAGGAGCATAACTGCATTGTGAAAACATATTTATAATTCTGGAAAGGTGAAAGACTTCTGTAGTTCATCCTCCTCAAAATAGTAAAATACCATCACTCATCTTCTCAAAGAGGAGCCTGGGAAGTTGTTTATTTTCTTCCCAGTCCCTATAATGTGAGGAGGGAAAGAGTTTGCAAAAGCTGCTACGCCACTGTAGGCATATTGTGGAGTACATGCTACTGTATACATACTGTACATACATGTGTAGTGGGTTTACGTGGCAAGGTTTTGGTAGCAGGGGGCCATAGGGGTGGTTTCTGTGAGAAGGATCTAGAAGCTGCCCCATGTTTGGTAAGGGCCCCACTGCTGACCAGAGCCGAGCCAATAAGCGATGTTGTTTTGCGCCTCTGTGAGAGCATATTTAAGACAGGGAAAAAAACGCTGCACCACACAGCAGCTGGGAGAGTGAGAGGAGTGAGGAACGGCATCAAGGTCAGTGTAGAAGGAGGGGGAGAGGTGCTCCAGGCGCCGGAGCAGAAGTCCCCTGCGGCCTGTGGTGAGGCCCATGGTGAAGCAGGATGTCCCCCTGCAGCCCATGGAGCACCATGGTGGAGCAGGGTTCCACGCTGCAGCCCGTGGAGGAGAGCCACGGTGGAGCAGGTGGCCCTGCACCGACGGAGGCTGCCGCCTGTGGAAGACCCCTGCCGGAGCAGATTCCAGGCCAGACCTGTAGCTCATGGAGCAGAGACCACGCAGGAGCAGGTGACCTGGCAGGAGCTGCTGCCCGTGGGGGAGCCAGGTTGGAGCAGTTTTCTCCTGAGGGATGGACCCCGTGGTACGGACCCATATCTGGAGCAGTTCTGGAAGAGCTGCTGCCTGTGGGAAGCCCACGCTGGATCAGTTCATCAAGGAATGCATCCCGTGGGTGGGACCCCACAGCACAGGGGACGAGAGTGACCGAGAAGGAGCGGCAGAGAAGAAGTGCTGTAGACTGACCATAACCCCCATTCCCCCGTTCCCCTGCGCCACTCAGGGGGAGGAGGTGGAAGAGGGTGGATGTGGGGGGGTAAGATTCTTTTGGTTTCTTTCCTTTGTTTCTCACTTCTCTAGCTTGTTAGTAATAAGCAATAAATCTTACTATCTCCCTATGCCGAGTCGGTTTTGCCCATTACAATAATTACTGTGTGATCTTCTCGTCCTTATCTCAACCTTTGAGCCCTTTTCATCATATTTTCTCCCCATTCCTATTTGAGGAGGGGGAGTGAGAGAGTGGCTGTGGTGGAGCTCGGCGGCCCACTCGAGCGGAACCACGACAACATGCTACTTCACTCCCCCCCCCCCCCCAAAAAAAAAAAGTAAACAATAAAATAAACAAATAAAAAACAAATAAAATAAAGTAAAAAAAAAAAGTCATAAAAAAGGAAATAAACACTTTACCTGCTCAGACAGTGACCTAACCACCAGGCCATGGTTTTCCTCAGGATGTGGAACTGTAGAAATATTAAGAATGGGGCAAGAAAATTGTTTCAGTAATCATTAAATGATGAAATATGGCGCTTTTTATTTGTGGCTTACTCAACGAGGTCAGGTAGAAGCCACTGGCAGCTTTTGGTTACTATCAGGCAGCAGCTGCTTTCTAGTGGCCCACAGATAAAGGTGAAAATCACCATAACAAGAACACGTTCCCTCCTTGGAGCCATGTGGCCCTTGGATGCAATCAGCACCTCTAAATGGAGATGTTCAGAGTCAAGCCCTACTTATTTACAATTACACTGATTTAAAGTTGTGTTCATTTACATCTCCAGATGAGCATTGCTTTTGCAGTGAATTTTCAGAGTTGTTTAGCATCAGGCAAACTTGGTTCTCACAAGCTCTGCTTTTTGACAAGGGGCAAGATTTTCAGAAACCCATTGGACAAAAATGCATCTGGGCTCACCGGGTCAATCCCAAAGACAGGTGTCAGCGTGAGCTAGACTGTGCTTCCTTGGTGTTTCACCCCAGCCAAAAATAGTTGAGTTATATGGGGTGAATCATTTTGGTAGTGCTTGTGTTCCGAACCAATGGCATGGAGAGATTGTGGAAACAGCCTAGACAAGTTGTTCGGTCTAAGTACCTGTCAGATTTCTAACTCTAGGGAAAATGACTGGGTGATCTTGTGATGTAGGATCATAAGCCCAATGAGCAGGCAGTAGATGAGAGTCTAATTACCAGAATTATTGTGAAAAATCACACCCACTATGTGGGAGAAACACCACCTTTCTGAGAAGGAAGCCCAATTAAAGATAACACACCACGTTTGGGAATGAAATAATAAAAGGCCATTATCAAGCAGGAATGAAGTAGGGATCGAGAGCTACCTCGGCTAGGTGCATCCAGGGTGGAGCGGTACCAGGAGGATGCAGAAATCATGGCATCACTGCGTCACAAGGCAGCCAGGACTGCCCTGGAACTGCCAGGGTGTAATTGCCTCTGGAAAAACTACTTGTTCATTTACTTAAGCCAGAGAAAATGTATGAGTCATTGGACGATGAAAAGGCAAAATTAAAAAGACTGTAGCCTTGAGCTACAGTCCTTTTTTGTGCGTAAGAAGGTAAATATCAGGCAAAGTAATGCATCTGACAGTATTTTCACCAGACCCTAAAAATGTCCAAAGCTTTTATCAAAGCTGTATTTCTTATCCACAAGAAGGACATCTCCAACATGGATCCGGTTCTGTCTGCCCTCCCTGGAATTAAATTTGGTGTTTCTGTCTTTGATTTCAGTCACTGCATACAAAAGCTCTGTACATTTCCATTGATATTCAGAGCATTTCTACTTCAGCTTCCTTTGAATTAATGTAACCCAGGAACCTCAGCAATGTCAGTCTCAATTTATGCAGGCTTAGGCTGAAAATTTTAATCTTGTCTGTTCTTGATTTTTTTTCACCAAATTCTTTTTTTCTTTCTTTCTTTGATGCCTTTATGCAAATATCTCAGTGCCTCAATGGGTCTACAGCACTCCATTGTTTTGTTTTTTTTTTTTTTTTTTTTTTTTTTTTTTTTTTTTTGATGGAAAAGCAGTTTTTTCATCCTGTCCAGAAGAGCTAGACACTGAGATGTTCCAAGGACAATCAAGAAAACTCATCAGCATGAACAACTGTACCAAACAGCAAGTGGTTTTCTGTCAATGCTACTTCTCCATACTTTTTCCCCAGACTTTTACACAACGGAGGCATGCCGGCCAACACAACGGTATCCAGCTGATTAGAACAAAACAGATGGAATTCTGCAAGAGGAGGCTCAGCCATGCCTTTGAAGGTGCTACCTTGAAAGCAGCAGAACACAGGTACAATTCACAAGTAGCCAGAGAGTCATGGAGTCCACCAAACACCAGCCATGGTTCAATGAGTCAGCAGCAAACACAACGCAGAGCAACTCAAAGTGCTGCTGAGCTCAGTTAGCAAACCTGACCTGCGGTTTCATACAAACCCTTTTTCCTTCTTTTAGACTACATGGGTTCATGCCCCCTGAATTTCGCTCTCAGTTTCAGGTATGAATGAATTCAAAATCTTTAGGTAAAATTCAGTGAGAAGAAACTACCTAGTTTTGACGGGTTTCAGTACAAACCCAAGCAAAACCACAAAATTGCTCATGGTTTCCAGAGCAAACCATATATTTCACCTAGTTTTTTGGGGGTTTCATTATGAAATTTTCATGGAGTCAGAAAAAAAATAAGCATGCAGCTTAATGTCCCCAAAGCACTTTGAACTGCTATCTACACTTCTGTTTTCTGAGAATAAAATATTTGAAAGTGTATATCTTTTCTATCAGCCAACGGCAAGATAACTGATTGCAAAGAGATGGTTCTCTGCACCGTGTGAACCCCCAGTTTGCTTTAAGTGCAAATAGATTGGCTTACTGACCCTCCTTGACTCCTGGGCTTTGGATTTGATTTTGGTCCTTGTGTTGGGCTTGTTAGTGTAGCTTCAGCCTTGAGTACATGCCTGGAAGAGAAAAATAAATAATTCTCCTTCTCAAGGTGGGAAATCTATGGATGCTGCAGGCACAGCATAGGCAAGTCTGAATCTTTTACACTTTCTAGAGTAAAGAATATCTCTGGGTTTAAAGAGACTTGGAAAATACTGAGACTCCAATGGTGTTCTTTCTTATTGCTTAATAGTGGTTTCTTCCAGCAGAGAATAAAGCTTGTATCATTTTTAAGTCAGGTCAGGAAATTCGTCAAGCAT